TTTATTATTGATGCAGCTTCTAAGCAGTGCTGTGGCTGACTGTCCTGGTTCTCTGTTGCAGTATGTTGAGCAGAAGGCCTTCAGCCACCATGGCTTACAACCCATCACTCTCCTGCAGCAGACAACATCTGGGCTGGCTTACCTGCACTCCCTGAATATTGGTAAGAATGCCTCTCCTTTCAGGACTGGATGGAGAACTACATTTGCTTAGCTGTAAAATAAAGAGCAACTGGTCTGATACTGTTCGTCTGGCCTGTTGGAAGGTGACCCTGCCTATGGCGGGGGAGAGGGAATGAGATGGTCTTTGAGGTCCCTTTAGACCCAAACCATTCTGTGGTTCTATGATTTGACATTGGCCTTGTCCCTGCAACATTCTGCAGCCTTGGAGTACTAAGGCAAGTCCTTAATGTTGGTGCAGGGTGCTGAAGTTTTTAGATAGAAGTCGTATAAAACACGGTGGAATAGAAAAAAAAAAAAAAAAAAAAAAGAAATTACCAGTGAAAATAATTTGAAGTTATGACTTTGGTTTCATGAATGGTGGTTCAGCCTTGTGAAAGGTCCACTTAAAAATTTACAAAGATTGTTGGGACTGCCTGAGTGGGTAAATGGGTGTTTGTCACAGTCCACAGGGACCTGAAGCCTCACAACATCCTCATCTCGATGCCCAACGCTCACGGGAAAGTCAAAGCCATGATTTCAGACTTTGGGCTGTGCAAGAAGCTGGCAGTGGGCAGGCACAGCTTCAGCCGCCGCTCGGGCGTGCCGGGCACCGAAGGCTGGATCGCCCCAGAGATGCTGAGTGAAGACTGCAAAGAGAACCCTGTAAGTCCTCACCTTCCCAGGCTGCCCAGGACCAGGCAGACCCTGAAACAGGCACACCTGGTGCCTGGGCCTCCAGGCTGCCTTGAGCTCAAATCTGCGAGTTGGAAAATTTCCTTCTGCTCTCAGATGCAAAATAACCACCCTGTGAGAATCTGAGCTTTCAGGGGGAAAAGATGTCAGTGCTAGTGAAGGCTGTTTCTTTGCAGACATACACTGTGGACATCTTTTCAGCTGGCTGTGTCTTCTATTACGTGGTGTCTGAAGGTGGCCATCCCTTTGGCAAGTCCCTGCAGCGGCAAGCCAACATCCTGCTGGGAGCATACAGCCTGGAGGCTCTGGAGGCAGGGAGGCACGGTAAGGACTGCACTGCAGGGGTCAGGGAGGGCCCAGGCTGCTGAACACCAGCACCAGTGACAGAACCAAGGCCCACAGTTACTCCCAGCCTGGCAGAGATGAAAGCTGTACTCAGGTCCTCCTGAAGTAAAGGGCTAAAGTTCTTGGAGTTAGTGCCCCAGGGCAACTCTGGAATACACAATTTGGAACCCTGCAATCTTGATTGTGAAGTTATTTCCTGTATTTAAGGGAAGAGAGAGCTGAACTTTGATATTCTTAGTCTTTGATAGTCTTTCTGTTGATTGCCCAGCACATCTGTGAGGGCAGCACTTGAACTAGCAGGACAGGAGGAAATAGAGACCATAATGAATTTCTGAAGTACAAAATATTATAAAATTACAAAATTTTACATTTTACTACAGCCTAAGAACATAGAGAAAATAAAAGAAGTAAATTTGCTTGCACACTCTTCCTTGCAGAAGACATTGTTGCTCGTGATTTAATAGAGCAGATGATAACCATGGACCCTCAGAAACGGCCGTCTGCCAGCTGTGTGCTCAAACACCCCTTCTTTTGGAGTCTAGAAAAACAGCTCCAGTTCTTTCAGGTTTGTGATGACCTTTTCTCTCCTCTCGGTTCTCAGGGCCTTTTCAGCTCTTGAATTCAGTCTCTCTTTTGTGCCTGAGGTCACAGAATCCACAGCCTTACTGAGAGGAGTGAGGCAGGCCAGTTGTAAAACCTGGGTGGATCTCCTAAGCAATTGGCTTAGTCTGACAGCAGATCCTTCAGAGGGAGCCAGAGCTGATGTTACCAAGGTCAGCTGGTGGGAGGAAGGTCTCCTCTAGCAGCTGCAGTACCCACAGAGAACATGGCCAGGAGGGTTTTCAAGAACAGGAGTAAACAAGCACTGAATCCTGGGGTGGGGTGGGAAGTGGCTGAGGGCTTGAGATCCTTTCCAGCCTTATCTTCTCCTCTGTGCTAAAAAGGCTTTGGAAGAGGGTGAAACAAATAATGTCAGAAACTTCTGTATCCTATTCCCAAGCACTGTCATGGAGTGAAGTGGAATTCCAACGTTACTACCAGGACAAGCTGTAATGGGCCAGAAGCAGCAATTTGAAAACACTGGGAAAAACTTGGAAATAAAACTAGAAATAATCTGAATGTCTCTTCCAGGATGTTAGTGACCGAATAGAGAAAGAATCTTTAGACGGTCCAATAGTCAAGCAGTTAGAAAGAGGTGGAAGAGAAGTGGTGAAAATGGACTGGAGAGAGCACATCACTGTTCCTCTTCAGACAGGTAATGGACAGAATTTTGTCACAGGGGGAATTACCTGCTGTTCCCAGTTTGCTGGGACAGGAAAGTAAGGCTAACACTGTCTCAGTTTTAGCACATCACTGTTACCTGTCAGTAAAATGTTTCTTCAAATGGAAGTATGTGTTTATGTACTGAAACATCTACAAGGATCTGTGGCTGCAGACATACACCCCAGCACCTAAAACTGCATCACAACACACAAAAAATGTGCTTCTCTTGCAGATCTTCGAAAATTCAGATCCTATAAAGGTGGCTCTGTCCGGGACCTTCTGAGGGCGATGAGAAATAAGGTAAGGAGTCTCTTCCTCTCGTGCACTCTGGGTTCCTGCCTCTGGCTGCTGTTGTTGCCAGCCTGTATCAGACCCTGATTTAGGTACTGAGCTTCTTTACAAGAGCCCACTGGGAGGGTACTGTGTCCAGGAGCACCAACAAGCACCAACAACCTCTGTTTACAAGAGGCTTTTGAACAAACCCTCTGACTGAGCTTTTCCCTCTTCTGTTTTCCTCCACAGAAGCACCATTACAGGGAACTGCCTCCCGAAGTGCAGGAGACCCTGGGCTCCATCCCAGATGATTTTGTGTGTTACTTCACAGCTCGTTTCCCTCGCCTGCTCCTGCACACCTACCACGCTATGCACATCTGCTGCCAGGAAAGACTCTTCCAGCATTACTATGCTGAGGACTCTGCAGAGCTGAGCCTTACGGGAGACACGCTTTGAGAGGAGAGGGATGGAGCTTTCTTCTCTGGGACCAACATTCCAAGCACAGGCCTACCCTTTGAAGGGAAAAGTGGGATCAAAGAGCTGAATTCACTCTCTCTGAGGAAACCAAGCTTCCAAAAAGTGCCTTGTCCCTGTGGCTGTGCTGGATCAGGAGATGGTGGAGCTCAGGGCACGAGTGGTAAAGCGCTGAACCCTGGGGATGGAGTTACTGACTCCAAGGGAGTTTTCAAGACTGTGGAACTGAAGAGCAAAAGCTGGATAGAACCATCACCCAATATCCCTGTACTGTATGTGATTTTGTAACGGATGTTTTACTACAAAAAAAAAATCAAATGTAGTGATTGAAATGAAATAATTACTCGGGACTGGGATGTGCAAAAGGAGCCCTTTGGTTGTAGCAAATTATCTGAACCTGCCATTGCACTGCTGCCACATTAGGCACACCACAGTGATTGTAAAGGGAATCATTCGTGATTATCCTAAAAATGGTATGAAAAGTACCACTTCTGTTTAACCAGTACTACTTTGGAAAGTTAGGCTCTTATACTTGAGCAGAAACAGTTTTAAAAAATACTGACTTGAAACACCAATTCAAGTTTTTCCTACTCTGAAAAAAAAGACTTGTTTAATATGAAGCAGTATTTGCAGAACAGGTTGAACAATCCTTGACTTAACTCACAGTATGAGAACAGATCTGCTCAAGTACCTGCAGCAAACACCAATGGCAGCTGGGAGCTGCCTGTGACTCAACTGCAAATGTCCCTCAAGGGCTAAGAAAAAGCCACAGCCACAGAGCCAGGGGTGAATGAGTCCTGGGAAGAAGAGCTAAGCAGGCACCAAGAGCTGTTCAGAGCAGTGAAATCAGGGCAGTGTTTCAGGGGTGCTACAGAACTGTAGAACCCCATTTCCTGTGTGTGTGGGCTGGTAATTCCATCCATGGGAGCCTGTGTGGTTAAAGGTGCAGTATTTCTTTACACTGGCCCTGAAGCTGTGACAAAGTGTCATGTGTGCTAGGATGAAGAAATGCTGAATTCTAATGTAACGGGGGTGTTCTTTTACAATATATTTATTTAATGTATTTATATTTATTTAATTTTTACTACAAAGTGGTATCAAATCCACGTGGTACAAGTATGAAGCATGCCAAATCAGTCTTAATCAGTTTTGTGTTTATATTTAATCATGAGATAACAACTGGAAGAGGAAAGTGATACTGCATCTTTCAATGGAATTAATTAAAGGAGAAATTAGGAAGTGAGAATTTGTATGACTGTGCCATTGTGTCTTAAATAAATTATTGCTAGTAATACCCCATGTGTGATGGGGTATGTACAGCTATTTTTCTGGAGATACTTTACAGGATGTTTTTTCCTACTTTTACAATGTGTGAGAGCAATTTACCTAAGATGCCAAACTGTGCAGGTTACATGTTCTAAAGCTTGAAAAAATAATGGTAATTTTACCTAAAAAGATTCAAAGCCTATTTCATATTTTTGTATTTCTCATGTAAAGGTCTTTTATAAATCTACTAAATAAAGACTCAGATTAAAACCCCACAGCTTTCGGTGCCGTTGTGTGCCCAGGGAACCCAGCAGGCCTGGTGCTGGCAGAGCTGTCAGAAGTGAGCAGGGAGCCTGCACAAAGCATTTCCTGCCTGCTGCTGCAGCGGAGGATGCAGGAGCTGTTCAGGTGGGAGGGAGCCTCCCTGAAGGCCCAAGAGCCTCGCTGGTTGCTCTGACAGTCCCCAGCCCCCTCCAGCCTGGTGGCTGGGGCAGGTGCACAGGTGAGATAAAATGGCAGGACTTCGTGCTGCTGTGCGATAAATACCCATAAATAAATGGTTTTGCTGAAACAGCTGCTGACTGACCACGTGCTTTACGGGAACCAGAAAGCCACCAGGACAGTTCTGCTGCAGCCCAGCCCTCCTGGGCCGCCGTGGCACCGAGGGCTGGGCTGAGGAGCCTCTCGCCAGCCTCTCCGCTACTTGGTGAGGAGGCCTGGAGTGAATAGGTAGGTACAGAGGGCACTGAGATGGATCTGAAAGTTTAAAATAAAAAAAAAAAAAAATATCCCACACCCATCCTGACACCTGTTTTTGGTGGGGCTAAGGCTACTGGATTCGTATCAGCAGCACCACCCAGCATCATCACTGCTGTGAAGGGGGTGGAGACTTGATAGCTCAGCAGGAATGTTTCTCTAAAGCGGTTTCCCCTTTTTATTTCCGGAATCATTTTCAAGAGACCTGCAGGAGCTGCAGAACACCCACAGACTGCTGCCCGTGCAGGGCCCGGCACCACAGGTGTTGGAGCACCTTCCCTCCCCGTTCCTCCTGTGGGACCCTTTCCCTGCGGGCGGGCAGCGCTGGGGACACCGGGCCACCGCGGGCTCTGCAAGGTAAGCCCTGCGCTGCCACCCGCGCGCTCATTCTCAGCCGGCGGCTGACTTTACTGGGACCGGGTTTAGCGAAAAGTGAGGCTGTCCCTCCACTGCCCCCGCCACCCCACTGGGCTGGAGGCTGCTCGGCAGCACTCCCCGGGAGTGTGAGCAGCTCGGAGAGGGGGGAGCGGGGCGCAGACAGCCCTGCCCGCACCCCGCAGCTGCACCCGGCCCTGCCCACGCGTGCAGCCCTGGGTACCCAGAGCCCCCTGGAGCAAACCCCGACTGCTCCCAGAACCAGCAGGGATCGGGGACCCGCGGGCCCCCTCCAGCCCTGCTGCCCAGCCCCCGCTCTGCTCAGCCTCCGTTCCAGTTTCGATTCCCCGGCAAGGCTCTTTGTTTGGCAGCGCTTCCCTGACGTCAGCTGTCACCGCGGGCTGGGACAGAGAGACAAGGGCGGGATGGGATTCCACAGTACAAGCCCAGCCCTGGGACGTGGCCAACGGTACAGAAATGACCGTGGACCAAAAGGGTGGGAAGGAATTTGAGAAAACAGAACACCAAATACTGAAAGATCAGTATTTCAGGGACATTTTTATCCCCCTTTCTCGGGGAAGGCTGCAGCAAGTGCCAGTAGAATCCTTCTCCCACCATTTTCACAACCAGCCTGTTTACACTTACTCTGAGGGATGCCTTACACCCACGGCACATCAGGGCAGTCCCGTAACAGGCTCCCCTCTCAGAGCCTCCTGCTCACACCAAAGCTCCAGCCGTGCTTGTGCCTCAGCCAAGGCTGCCACAGGGCTGACCAGATGCAGAAAGGCTTCATGTGCACTTGTTGGCTTTCTCCAGCATCCCCTATTCTCCCGGAGCAGAATCTCCCCACACCACCCCTTGCCAAGCCTTGGTCCTGGGGAGTGAACTCTTTTCTCCGTTGCCCAGTCTCCACCGTTACACTGCAGACATTGTGGAGACCTCGCCCAGCTGCACTGGGGGCTGCTCCTTTGACACTTGCCGAGAGCAGTTCAGCACCATGAGCTGCAGGGGTGGAGCTGGCTGAACCAGAGCTGAGCTCCCCACTAGAGCAAGAGCAGAAACACCAGCACCACCATGGCACACCTTTACTGTGACCCCGGTGACAGGGCTGTGGATGGTTACTGCTGACTGTGGATGTCACACTGAGCAGGTGTATTTTACCTGTGATAAATGGATATGATTCGTGCTAAATTGTAACTATATCAACATTTTACAAAATAATTGTTATAAAATAAAAAGTGTATGTGATTAATTGCAAAGCAGATGGGTCCCTTTGCAGATGTTACATGTGAAAAACAGGATACAGGCTGTAGTACTGAGATAAGCAAGATCCCAAAGCAGAATCGGCCTTGGGATGAGCAAAGAAGGGATGATTTCAGATATGGAATCTAAAGTAGTGGTTTTATCTATGAAATAATAAGGCTTATTTGGAACATAATACTTATTTACATAACACAAAGCTCAATGTGCATGTGCAACCTGTTAGATTATGCAGAGGGCAGTGAGGAAGACAGTGAGCCTTCCTCTACAAAGACCACCAAAGAGCCAGGAGACTCCCTAGCAACAACTGGAGCACATGCTGTGCAGTACAGTGACAGAGATTTCAAGAAACAAACACAGGAGGAGATTAACAGGAAAATACTGATGAATATGTATTAGCATACAGTATATAAGTTGGGTTTGGATTCCTTTGTTTCACATGTGAGGCAGGGTGAGAAACTCTCCCTGTACCCCAGTCGGCTTTGCTTATGCTTAACCACACTTAATTAATCACTACCAAATTTTTGTATATGCTTGATTATATTTAATATACTTGATTGTATTAATTTAGTAAAAATTGTTGCTAAATTAAAATTGCTGCTAAATTGAATTTTGTTGTTTATTAAATTAGACATATAGACCTTCATTCATAACAAACCCATTCCTCCTGCAGTACAGAACAGGCTGTCCCTGCTGCCACCCATCTCTGAACTCCTGGAATGGAGGATGGGCAAGGAAGGATGTCATGACTCGGGGGAGGACACCCCACTAAACAGAAAACCTTCTGCTGGGTTGGGCAGTTAGTCAAACTGCTTTTTGGAAATTTTGGTAAGCACCAGAACAGATACGGGAAAAGAGAAGGAGCAGGGGAGAGTGTACCCACCAAAAAAGAGGGGAAAAAAAGCAAGTGTGAAGGAACAAAAGGGAGAGAAAGTGAGAAAAAGCAATAAAAAGTAAGGGATAGAACCTGGGGGACACAGTGGTGAGGGGCCTCCTTTTCTCCAGTATGTAACAAAAGGAACTCTTGGGCTCAGCTGTCAGCACAAACCCCTACAGCAACCCCCTATTTCTTTCACATCCACATGTGTGCCAGAGGCAGGAGCAGCTGCCTTCACACAGGCACACAGAAGCAGCACAGCTGGAAAGAACAGGCTTTTAGAGGTACAGAAATGACCTTGGACCAAAAAGGTGGGGAGGAGTTTGAGAAAACAGAACACCAACATCAGCTTGAACTATGTCAGGAACGTGAACTGTAAATCTGAAGACGTACTTTTTCCCCCCTCTAGGGTTTTGTTCATTAACGGCAGGATTTCCTCCACCAGAGACAATGGGTATGTACTGCTTTCAGAAAATTTCTACTTTGTATGTAGAAATTTGCTTTTTAATATCTGCATTTGAAGGATTTCTCTCTAGTGGGGAACTAATCAGTATTCCTATCATCTTAGGGTTTGTATTGATGCTATCCTCATTTAGGAAAAAATAATCAGACTCAAGTGGGTAAATGATCCGCCCAAACCTGTCCAGTTTAGGGAGTCCAGCCCTGTCAATTCCCATAAACCTTATCATTCCCTGCACAAAACATTTTGGGTTATTTCCTTGGCTCCCTTTGAGGATTATTTCCAAGTCTCCTTCCTAGTTTCCTGCTTTGCTGATTTATTAGTCTTGCACCATTAACTGCTTCTGATTAAGGTTATGGATACTTTGTCATCAGAAGTGACATATTTAAGAAGTTAAGACCTGCTGTCTCACTGTGACTGGTAGAGAGAAAATAACATTCAGTGTGGCAAAACAAACATTAGTTTGTATTAGTAACACATGATTTAACTTCTAGATTACAAAACGTTACCTGTGAGTGAATGGGTTGAGAACCACGTCAAATGCTGGCTGGAATCTACTGGAATCAAGAAGGAGTATGTAGATAAACTATATGCAGAAGAAGTGACAGGTCCAGCCTTAATGGAACTGGATGAGTCCTTCCTCAAAGACATAGGAATGAAGAAAGGCCAAATCCAGATCTTAATCCACAAGAGAAATGAACTTCTGCGGCTCCAGGACAATGCACAGCAAGCTGAGGACTCCAGCAGCAAAACACCTGAGAGAAAAGATGCACCACCAGGCCCAGCCAGAGGCAGCAATGCCCCTGCTCAGGGCACGGCGAGTGGAGGCAGCTCTAGTGCTGTGAGTACAACCAGCAGCGAGAGCACAGCTCCTACTTCCGGCAAGAAGCAAAAAAGGAGCAAGAAATCCCAGCTTCAAAGTGCTGACGAAGTTTTAGAGCTCAGAAATTGTCGGCCATTTAGAAGTCAGGATACCAATTTCAAATATGTGAAAGACACAGTCCTTGTTCCAGAATCAGGAGTCAGCGATTTAATCATTCCTTGCCACGAATACAAATCTTGTGACACTGCTGCAGAACTGAACAAACATCAACTGCAATCAAAGTTTGCCTCCGAAGTGATACGATTTGCTTCGGCCTGCATGAACATTCGAACAAATGGCACCATCCATTTTGGTGTCATGGACAGTGTTGAGGACAAGGGCTGGAAACACGGACAGGTCGTTGGCATAAAGATCAAAAACCGAGAAGACTTTGTTGATGCACTGGATTATATAGAAAAGTGCTTTTGCAATAATTTACAAGAAATTGCAAGGAAATGTATTCACCCGCCTGTGTTTGTTGAAGTGATTTCAAAAGATTCTCAGGAACAAAGATTTGTAGTGGAGGTTGACATTGAACCAACATTCAGCTTGGTAAAGAACAACTGTTTTGAAGTTTATTTGCCAAAATACAATGAAAGCAATCAGAAGGTGACCCTGACCAAAGACCGCGCTCTCTACCAGCGTCTGGGAGCAAAGTCCGAACCTGTGCAGCACAACAATCTCACTGCTTTCATTCAAGCCATACCAGACAGGGATGCTCAAAGACAAAGAGCTGAGCTCTCCAGCACACAAGTACCTACAGAAATACCTCAAGATTTAGGAAGAAAGTTATCAATTCTATTAAATGATGGCAAAAGCTACATGGATGATTCCCTGCGGTACATCCTTGTCACAAACAGATGTGAACAGGATAATCTGAAGTACATCAACTTTTTAATGCACTTGAACATTTTCTGTGTCTTTGACTTTGATGAACATTCTAATGTGTCAGGGCTGTACAGCAAATACAAAGAGCACCATGAAACAAGTTCTTATTTTTTACAGGATTTTTCCAAAGAAATTAAGACTGATAATTCTCCCTCTCAGAAACTCTTTGATCAGACCAGCTGGATATTCTGCAATGGGCGCAGTGACTTCCTTGGGGATGAAAAACCTTGTGATGAAAATACATGGATTAGAACCAAAAAAAAATACCTGAAGAAAGTAATTACTTGTATTTGTGAGGAAATTCTGCCAGAGCGCTCTTTCATTGTGCTTTTTCTTTTGCTGTCACCAGTGCAGAAACCACTTGTGGACACTTTTCAGGAATTCTATACAGAGATGAACGGCATGGAGTACATCATCTGCATTGCAGAGTCCAAAGAAAATTACAGAAAGTGGGCTAATCTAGCTCAGGAATCCTGCAGCATTGAGACCCTAGAACAATGCAGTATTGTGGGTATGAAGCTCAGTCACGTAGATGCCACCATCCAATCAATGCTGCCTTCTACAGCCCAACCCAGACACCTGCCAGCTTCCACTGGAGGCGTGTGTACACTTCCCTTGCGGGAAGAAGAGAAACTGTATTCCCTAGAAATCCTTTGTGCTGACCAATGCGATGATATCAAACTAAATCTTTGGACTGAAAAACAAAAACAAGACATAGAACAAAATTTTTACCGCGGGAGAAAAATCATGTGGGAAAACTTGTGGCTTGCTGATAATAAACTCTGTGGGGATATCATTGAACGTGAAGCATGCGCGGAGGCAAGCAAACTCTTGGATGGCATTTTACGAGGAAGTGGACACAATTATTCTGTGGCTAAACTAAAGATATTTCACCATCCTGGGAGTGGTGGAAGCACAATAGCACGGCAAGTTCTATGGAAAAGCAGAAAGCGTTTTAGATGTGCTGTTATCAAGACCTCATATTCACCCTCAACTGTTTGTAATCATGTGCTCGCCCTCAGAGATTATGAAGAAAAGGAAATCCCTCACTGCTTTCCTGTGCTGCTCCTGATCGAAGATTACGATGACGAGTACTTTGAAGAACTACAGATTGAGTTAATGGAGGCTGTAGCAACCAGGAAAATGAAAACCGCCAGGCCTTACTTCATCCTCATATGCTGCAGACGATGCAATGACCCTGAAAGGCTTTGCAAAGCTTCGCCACTGGACACAGTTGCTGTCACTCACAAACTGACAGAGTCAGAGAAAAATCTGTTTAACACCAAACTTGGAAAACTGCAGCAGAAATATGATGAGCCAGAATTCATACTTACGTTTGTGCTGATGTGTGAGGAGTTCAATAAAACATACGTGTCAGACATGGTAGAGCACATACTGCAAGGCATCGACCCTTCCTCCCGTGACACCTGCTTGATGCGTTACATTGCTCTGCTCAACTGCTATGTACCAAATTCATACATCTCACTGTCACACTGTGAGGCTTTTCTGGGGCTGGGTGCATATACAGAGAGTAAAGCAAGAGCATACGATTTCAAACATCACTTGAGTGAACAAGTAAGAATGATTTTTATTGAGCTAAGGGAAAGCACCACTTATATTTCATCTATTCGGATAATACACTGCCTGGTTGCAAAAGAAATTCTGCATCAACTTTCAGGGAATCAATCACTAAGTCAACTTGCAACAACTCTTCTTCAGGAAAAGGTGCTCTTTGAAAACAGATTTGGACGAGAAGAATTCATAAAGTTTATCAGACATCTGTTTATTCGACGTGATAAAAGAAGCAGGGGTGACAATACTGATACTCTCTTCTCCCCATTCATTGAACATGTCTGTGAAGCTGAAGACTGTGAAAAAGCCATTGGTGTTTTAAAAGCTGCATATGAACTCCTTGGAAAAGATCCTTTTTTTGCCCAGCAGCTTGCCAGACTAAATTACAGCAATGAAAAATTTGAAGATGCTGAATACTGGGCAAAGGTTGCAAAATCTCATTTGCCAACTGATTCTTTTATTTTGGATACAGAAGGTCAAGTCTACAGGAGATGGTTTAGTTTCACTGTGGATAAAATGACAGAGGAGGATACCCCTGAAAGGATCATCGAGAAGATATTGCTTGCTCTTAAAGCTATGAAATGCTTCAGGGCTGCACAACAGGCAGCAAAGGAAGAACGTGAAAGTATGAACAACGCTGGCTATTTTGGAGAAGTAGAAGTAGGTTGCCGCCTTCTTCGATTTTTGTCCACGCTGCCTGTATTCCACAGAAGTCCAGAGGGGGAACATACTGAGCTTGTGAAATATCTCACCACAGATTACATTCCAGAAGACATAAAAAGAACATGGGGAAGGCTTCATTCCCGCTTGAAAGGCTTGCGCCAGAACCTGTACAATGCTCTGGAATGGATTTCAGAGGAACTAAGTTATTTCCAAACAGATAAAAACCAAGAGAAGGATGATGAAAATGATGATAAGGAAGAACAAATTTATAATCCCAGAAAATGGCTAAGAAAGCAGTCAGCTGTATATGCTAAATTCTTCATCTCACCATCACTTACAGATGATAGCAACAATGGTCCTGACACTCAGCTCATGAGACGCCTGAGTATTTACGGGAGTGGTGGAGGAAATGTCACCAATATCCTGTCATTCTTAACAGATAAGAAAGAGAACAGGTCAGCTGAAAAGCTAGAAAAGATCCTTAGTTTCTATCCAGAAAACCCACCAAGGAACAGCTTGGAGGACAACGATTTGATCAATTTTATTTTGTGTCACATCACATTAGCCTGCTTAGCACCAGGATCAGCCAAGCTCCTTCCACTACCAACTCTTCGTGAGCTCAGTCTAAGATTCTTCAAAGGAAAAAGACAATTTCCAGCAAGTGCCTATTTTTTGCTCACCTTGCTGTACTGGCCAGATGAGGCATTAGACAAAGAGCCTAATCCTGACAAAGATGAAATTTTAACTTCGGCCCTTCAAACCCTGAAACGCTTATATGACATCAAAATGAAAGATGTTCCTACCAGAAAGAAAAGAATCTACACCCATTTTTTTCTGGGAAAGGGTTATGGCTTAAGTAAGATAGTGCACAAAAATAAAATTGACAAATTGATGGTGGGATCCTTAGATGAGAGAAGAATGAAGTGGCTGCATGGAACTGTATGGAGCATTTCCAAAATTCGTGACAATCTCAAAAGAGTTTCTGGCTGGACCAAGGACAGAAATTTATTTATACAAGGTCACGTGAAAGAACTCCGTATCTTGCCACTCCATCATGAATCAGTGCCTGCTGGAAATGAAAATGTGACCTTTTATTTAGGCTTTTCATTTAATGGTCTTGTTGCTTTCAATATTGAGGTTGAAAATGATCCAGCCATCAAAAGAACCTAACATATGCAGTACAGTGCTGTATGCACTGTGCTCTTAGAGGGTACAGCACTGGAAGGGTCCAGCCTCACATTTAAAACTAAAAGTGGACTGTTCCTGGGTAACTACCAGGCAACACAAGAATTAACAGCTATAATAGTGACCAAATAACTAAAAAAAATTGAAACCATGAGTAGAGTGAACTTTAAGCCAAGCCTTTGATGATTCTGGAGTTAGAGAAAGCAAGATTTCAAACCAAAGACAGCAATTGATCCCTTTCTTCTTATTCCACAGATTAGGATTGTAAATTAATTTCTGCATAGGCTTGGTCAGTCAGTAAAAGAATTTATCCAGTGTAACTACACGTTTCTTCCTGAATCAGCAACAGAAAAATGAACTCAGACCACATACACTGCTGACATGTGCCATGCATGAAATAACTACTGACTGCAAAGCCAGTGTCAGTATGGAAGCAACTTTAAAGCTGACTTCAATCAGACTGATAAAAAAACAGGTCTCAAATTCTGCATAATCCTACATTGTTTCTCTGTGTAAATATTACCTTACTAGACATATCTATATCTGGGGTGGGGTGGAGAGGTATGTGAGCAGTCATGGGTGACATAAAGTTTAGTTGTAAGCACTGTTACGTTTTCATAGTCCAAACAATTCCTGCACTTGGTGAAATTATTTTGTATTATCATCCAAGGAATGCCACAGAATACAGACCTGAGATTTGTCTAGAGCATACATCCATGATTTGAAAAATGCAGAGGTTTTCAGTGCTGCGTTTACAACCATGATGGCGCATTCAGCTTCTAAGAACAAAAACGTGTGTTGCTGGGAGTTTCACATTGTTTGATGTAACATATTGTGACTAAAATTGCCAAAAACCACTGTCATGTAACTTCTTTTAATCGAATAAATATCTTTTATGAAGGACTACCGTTTCTATGTGAGCTTTATTACCCTACCTGACGATGTATTTCCAACAGTAGCTAGGTACGATTTGCTTTTCTAACTGCAGCAAAGATCTGGGCACAGCCAAAAACTGCAAAATGAACTGCAAGCCATGGTGAATTCAGAAGGAAGAAGATGGAAGATTATTGTCTAATCCAAGCCTTCACATTCTGGCCTCAGGTAGAAAAAACAATTGCCAGAAGGAAGAGAGCTGAAGGGCCAGAGAAATCCCCCTCTGCTCCCCAGCCCTGATGCAGGGGACAGGAGAATGTTCTAGAAAGTAACTGGGCAAAGCCAGCTTCCCCAAGTCTAGCCTGGGGCATTAGGATGGCTTCAACCCAGAGCAGAAAGCGGATATGTAAATTTACTGAAAGGCACAGGAGTGAAAAGCAAAGCATTGACTGCTCACCACATACACAACCTGCAGCAGCAATACTGTGGCAGCAAAGCAGACTGTTTTTGAATAGCAACTGTTACCAAGATGAAAAATTACAGCCAGCATGGCCAGGAAGTTCTGTCTTGTAATTTGTTTACTGCCTGCCCACACCCAACTCAATTCTGCAGACAGCAGTGCTTTGCCCTATAGCTCACACCACTGCACAAGCTTGAGTCTTTGAGGTAGAATATAAACAGAGGTCTTGCTGCTCATATATGCCCACTTTTACCTTATAAAAAATTAAAAGTTTAAACTCTTCATCCCCCCCCAGCCGCACAGAAAACAAACCAAAAAAAAAAAAAAAAAAAAAAAAAACCAAAAAAAAAAAAAAAAAACCAAAAAAACAAAAAAACCAACAACAACAAAAAAAAAAAAAAAACCAAAACCCACTGAAACAACTTTTAGAGAAAAAGTAAACTTACAGTTTAACTCTTGGGGTCCCACACTGCAACAACCAGCTGAGGTTCACAGTGCAACAAGCACAGACCCACCCTTCCTACTTCCTACCAGTCATGTTCACACTGGGAGGGCTTTAACCTGCCAGGCAACACACAACTGTCCTTGCTCTAACTGGCTCTTACTACAAAGCAGCTCCCAAATGCCTCTCAGATTTCCTGGAGTTGAAAGAGCCAGAGGACAAATGGCCATTAAGACCTTCTGCACAGCAGCACTGTTCCCTTGAAGGGTCCTCTACTGCACCTCCTCCCTGTCACACACAGGCAATTCAAAATGCCTTCAACTGGTCATGCCATAGCAGAAAAATATGTTTATCTTGCCTTTACCACCTCTCAGAAATTAACCTATGAGTGAACAGTGGTAGCTAAATAAGCCCAGCCTAGCACAGTAATCCAGTCTCATCCAGTGACACAGGAAGTGCCATTTCCCAAGCTACCTCATCTCTCTGCTCAAAAAGGGTTTAGAACAGAGCACCTCCCAGCACGCCCATGCCACCAACTTTTATGAAAACAGTTAGAAACTTTTCCTCCATATTCCGACCCTTTCAACTTCAATAGCTTTTTATAGTCTGCTTAGCAGCAGGACAGCAGATCAACAGCAAAAGGAAGTTACAGGTTAAGAAGTTAGGATTCATTTGTTTGTCTCCAAGTCAGAGCTCACACAAATGAGTCTCTGCAGCTTACAGAGAATCAAAAACTGGTACCAAGTTACTCTCACGATAACATCTGTTGCAACAATAATTTAAATAGGTTTTCAAGAAGAGAAAAAAAAATACACAGAAACAGTGGTTCACTTCTGTTTAATCAGAGACTGTTACAAAATGTCACACATTACAGATGGCTGTATGTGCAATGACCCATTCTTGAAGAACAGTTCAGAGAGGGTTCCCAGTGGATGCAAATGATGTCAGCTCCGTATTTTATCTTCTTTGTAAACTGAATGCTACAAAATTAAGCTTGTTATTGTTACTATTATTTGCATGCATTAAAGTGATGCACATACTTACCAGTCTTTCACTTTCTTGAATTAAATTCAACATCAGTATTTTGCCACCACCTGTCTTTTGAAAAAGATCAGTAATCCCAGCCCTTTCATACCACTTAATACAAAAGCAGTATCAAGTTACAGAGAAAACCCCTTCACAACACACTTCTGTGGCCACACTGCTACCGAGAGGGGACACTATTCACTCATGTGCTTAATTAAAGGTCCTTTACGAAGGTACTAAAACCAGCTTTGCTCATTTTGAATTTACTGCACAGTGACCAGAAACTCTAAAAGGGCAATTGGGAGTCAGCAAGGAGTCTAAGGAAATAGTGGGAAATTACAAACTGTTCCAAATACACAGTACTAGAACTGGGAGGGAAGACTGCTGAACCACTTTACAATGGACAGCTGCTCTAATGGTGTGTCAGAAGTTGAGCTACAATTTTAACACTGTTTACCTGGTAATCAAAGCTCAAATACCCAGTCTTGTTTTGGTCCTATCTCAAAAGAAAATGAACTTTATTCTACCACAAAGTGCCGTAAGTAACTGCCATTTAAAGTTTCACAAAGAGATGTCTTTCTACCAGAGTTCTACTACGATCTATCCTGGAGAAACGCACTTTTTTTTGTTAAGACACTATGGAACACACTCTGCCCTTTAGTTAACCCCATTGACTGCCAGGCCAGTGGACAAGTAGTGCAGGTCTGCATCCAGCCAGTGCCAACACCAGGACATGATAAGGTAACTGAGCAGCCAAAAGCATTTACTCACTCCAGCTTAGTACTGAGCATTGCATTAATGCTAGCATCAGCTAGGGTCAACCACAGATGGTGTAAGAAATACAGACACATTCTGCTGACAGGGTAATGGCCTCACAACAAGGCATCCCTTTTATTCTTGTATACCTGCAATGAAGATTAAGCAAAGAGAGATAAAGCTAAATTGTAAATATTAATGTATGACTTCCCTTTTTTCCCCCCTTTTAGGAAGAAAAACCTATGCAACATTGGTGAGAAATTTGCCTGTAGCTCATTTTGAAGACAAAGCAATTTAGTGTAAATTACCAAGAACTGATGTAGAGAAGATGGCAGGCAATGGGCTGCAAGAGTAACTATTCTAAAACCTGGGAAGATACAATTGCCTTGAAACTGTGCATGTTTTTATGATGAGTTCTGCAGCACCGTTTAAGATTTCAGAACCCTAAACCAAGCAATTCTGCTGGAAGTGACAAGTCACTCATAAACCCACTGTAGACCCTTCAGATGAGCTGGCAAAACTGAAGTGTCTGTTCAGCTACCACATAACCACGACCTTCCCAGTGCTGACTAAGTAATTACCCACCAGTGATGTTAAAAGCCTCTCAAATTCAGAGTGGGACATCATGGCCTCAAAAGTGAATTAAAGCACAATCTTATCTTACAGCTCATCCAGCTGTGGATCTCCACTTCGTGCTACAGCACAGAAAAAGTTTTCATCTCTTCTACTGATATGCAGAGATGAGATATACAAAGTCTAAACAGAACTAAGTGTGTGCAGCCATTCCAGAGAAAGCTGCATCTTTTATTCAGTCACAAAGAATCTTTCCTATTTTAGGGTATAAAACATTCCATACAATAGAAATAAAATACCAGAATTTCTGGGAATATGAAATAGGGCAGAATTAAAATAGAGGCAGAGCAGTAACTCTGATGTAAGATAAAACAGTTGGACAAAACCATGTTTGTAGGTAGCCTCTGAAGTGCTGAAATGAACTAACAAAAGCAATTAAAAAAGCACAGAAGAACAAGCTCCTGGCTTACCAGCCTAACAAAGTAAAAATCTGTGGGTAAGAAAGGGTAATTAGCAATAGCTAAAGAAAATGGAAAGATTACAAACTGCTATTGATTCTTAGAAACAGAAATGCTTAATCCCCAACACAACAAACACAGGATCCTGCTGGTTTGTTGGTAAAAACCAGCCTCATTAATAACTGGCATGTTACCATAGTGATTTTGACTTCAGATTTTCACATTCTTCAGCAACATCAAAGGCTGCTTGTCAAGATTCTGTATTAAATTTTCCTTAAAGGTGCTTGCAGGTATTTTTTACCTGTCCACAAGCATAGTTAAATCCATTATAGATCTTCCAAAAAAGTCTAGTCTGTTCACTCACTACTGGAATCAGTAGTAGGTAACAATCACATTTCAGAGACCAAAATTCCCCTCAGGTATTTAAATGGTATCATTTGAACAAATTATTTCAAATAGTAACATCAGGTACTTACAGATTAAACTAACCTGTACTGGCAGTTCTGTGGAATTTTTCTTCTCTACCAGTAAGTAGCAAATGCTGAAATTCTGCTGCTAGTTAACAGAAACACAAATTGTATTAAACCAAGGTGTTTTACCCATAATTTAGTTTTTTCATTAAAAAAAAAAGCTGCCAAACTTCAATTACTGCAATTTGTTGCTTAAGAAAAGCATGTGAAGTAAAGGCAACTATGAAACTACTTTCAATTTGTCCTTCTGGTTTTTCATACATAACCCATAAGTGTAACAAGGTCACCTGCAGCCTACTGAAAACATAAAGGAAATTAAAATACTTACATTGCCAGGTTCCTTCATTAAAGTCTTAAAGTGTGTTTTCTTATTCTCGACTTTACAAGTGAAAGAGGAAAATGTATTTTTTCCCACTTAAATTTATAAGAAAGAAGCTAGAGAATTCAGTGCAAGTAAGTCAGTGAAAAAATGAGAAAAGAAAAAAAGCTCTGCGTGACATCTTCATCTCAAAGCATTACATAACTTCCTAAGTTGGGAGATGGTGAAAGTTTTCTTTGGCTGTACAGCATTCATTTCAGGCAATTAAAATTGCTGTTAGCAAAAATCAGTTCTACATATTGGCTACTATGAGCAGCAGAAACTGAAATTCTACAACCCATGCCTCCTTTCTGAATATGGTAGAGATTTAAGAGAAAACTTAAGGGAAAAAAGTTTAAGATGTCAGAAGCTTGAACTTTGTATAAGGCAGTCAGCTGCCAGAGAGACACACTAACTGCTAACACGAGAATTTATAAGGAAGCTTTCAAGTTCTCAATGTCATGTGCTTCTTTGCTTTTAGTTAAGATGGTACTGGCATTAAAATTCTACTATTTTTTCAAAACTCTTTCACTTCTTTATACCCTCAAGAACGAAAAACCTTAAGGTCAGTAAGTTCAAGACAGTATTTCTGCAGCAGTCAAATTCACTGCCATTAAAACAGCAGTGTTGCTGACTGTCCCCACTGGGAGAAAGCCTGCAAGAATTTAGGAGGTTATTGTAAACTTGTTCAGAAGATACAAGGGCCTCACTATTCACAACAGTGCCCAGGTATGTAAGTACCAAGCCTGAAAATTGTTCACATCAGGGACAGTCAAAACTGACTCAGCAGGATGCCAGGAACAAACAGCTTGAGGATAACACCCTGGATCCTGTGGTTCAGGACAGGATATGGCTGGCTGCCAGAGCAGCAGGCTCCAGCGCTCAGCCCCCTCAGCCACACCTGCACAAGGCTGCAGTAAAACTGCATTTGCTTTAACACAGCCTTACTGGGAATCTGTGCTCTGGCAATCAACACTGCACTATGTTGCTGCTTACAGTGTGCCAGAAACCTCTCACCAAGTGTTTTTCAGAACTTCAGAAAGAACTTTTATATACATTACAATTTACACTTTGATTCCTCTTGATCCCTTAAATGGCTGTCCCAAAACCTTCTTTCCTCTGAACTACTTCCAACCTAGCCCAACCATGACAGACAGAACAGCAGTCACTGGCAGCTGCATTCTTACAGAACCCAGTCACTACCACTGTTTCCCTGGTCTGATTATTTTGGTTGCAAGCATACAGATTTTTTAAAAAGGTCCTCATATGTGATATGTACTTTATTTACCACATCAAGTTACTTTTCTTGTTTAACAGATCAGGTACAAATTTACCCAATTTAGCAGAGTATCAGTAACTCCTGCTCCTTTAAAAAAGTTATGTGCCCCTACTTAAGCTTAAAAAACCTGAACTGCAAGACCACATTTTGTTAACATCTATAAAATTCATGTCACTGAAATACCATCAACTGTAGTAAAAAAATTTCACTAACAGCAAGATGTCCAACTTTGTGGTACACAAACTGCTGCAATGAGAGCTGCAATACTGGAATGTAACTAAGAACCATACTTCATCCCTCAAAATAAAGAGGCATTTTTATTTTGAGACTCTAAGAGATTAAGATACTTTGAGCAACAAATACAAGCCCCACAATGTATTATTTTGAATTAAACACTTTCGTTAGACATTCTAGGGAAAAAAGAATTAAGCCAAATGATCCTATAAATTAAGCAAGTGAAAGAAGTACTGGTTGTAGTAGTTTATCTTGAAGACTTGTTCTCATCTTCACTGTTATCAGGGGGAGCACCACAATGAGAATTAGCAAAGCAAGACCATGCTCAATAACCATTCTGAAACAGTTAACATGGACATGTCAATTTTCCAGTCAGACAGGGATTTTGGGGGGGGCCTTCTACAGGAAAAATGCAAAGGGCAGAGTACAAACAAAGAAGGGTACAACAGCAATGTGCAATACACTCTAAGTTAATTACAACTCTCTCCTTGAATTAAAATTACTTGAAATCCCATTAGGGGTCATCATTAAGCAAAATCTTGAAGAACAACTATGCTCATAAAAAAGCCTCACCACAAACCTGAAAAATATATAATATTTTTATTAATTTTTATTAAAAATTAATTATTTTATTAAAAATAAACTTAAAAAAAAAAAGGTCAAACCAGACTCCCACATTTGTTTATTTACTATTTCACTGCTGGTATGCTGCAAGACCTCCTTAGGTAAAACCTGCTGTTCTGAAGCTTTCTTTAAGCAACCTCAAGCATTCACAAACAATGGATCTGCAGCAGAATGAACACCTTTTTCTTCACAAAGGGTAGAAAATTTTGCTAGGCACCACGTGAAAGAAGGAACTTCAAATAAAGCTAATTTTGAACATGCAACAGAATCTCTCAAGGTTTAAAAGAAAAGTTTTTCAACTCTTACTATTGATGCAATAGTCAAAACATCCTCAAATTTGACATATTTGAGATGGAGGAAAAAGTTCTCCCTGAACTGAGGAAAAAGAGATTGAGGAAAAGGTTCTCCCTGCAACTGGCAAGCTGAAAAATCTGCAGCTTTGATTTCTCACTCTCTGTTATCAACTTGGATCTGATCTCTATTTCTTCGCAGGGCTCTACATTAATATTTGTTGAGGTGCAGCTTACAAACACAGCAGTATTAACATCTTAACCTTCTTCAAAGAAACTCTATTCTGTAATTGGGGCTACAAATTTTTGTAGCAATTAACTTACTAGTTCAAATCTATTTTAAGCTTTTCAGTAGATACCTATCCTCAGAAGAGAAAACAATAATTGGTATTTCATGCCACTAATTCAGAGACTACACAAAAGGAACACTACCAAACCCAAAAACAAATACAGCACAAACGCAATGCAGGGAAAGATGGGGAGGGGCAGTGTCTTAAGGACTACCTGAGCAGCCTTGAAGGAAATTCCATTAAGAGAAAAAGTACCCACACATCTTAAAACAGGTTCCCTCCCCTTAAGACTCTTAAAAAACACAGCCATAATAAAAAGATAAATATTAGAGCCCATCTACCAAAAGAGAATAAAAAAACCTATATTAAAATAAATTTAGGGGCCTTCACCAAACTTGCTGCAAGTTTGGGGACATAAATATCCAACAGCCATAAAGCTGTGAAAGCCCCCAGAATGAATAAAATAAATCCCACTTGCCTCAGACTGAACAGGGCAACACTGAGACTCTGCCTCAGCCTGTCCTATGGCAGGGCTATAGGAAGAAGAAAAATTTGAATTTTAGAAAAAACATGACCCAATTAAGTGAAAGACATGCATTAAAAATTAACAAAATTCCAGTGATCAAGCAAACAAAAGAAAATGACTGCTATAGCACCTCTTTTGTTAGGTCCAAACAGTATTTTTTGTAGCTGGTAGCTATTTCTGAATTGGACAGCTTGTTTTGCTTTGTATCTTGATCAATGGAACATCAGTCAGTTGTCTTGGGGCATTTTTCCCATAACTGATAGTATTTGTTGTACTAGTTCATGAAAAGTTGAGTTAAAGATTCCACCAGCCACTGAAAATGTTCACCCTTGTCTTAGTGTTCATGTAGAAACTAGACCAGTACAATTATTAAGACATTTACTAAGAAGTGTCATTAATTACCATTTTTAATTGTGGCCCCAGCTCATGGACTAGTTTATCAGTCTCAATTTAACTGAAGGTGGTAACGACCTTCTTGCTGTTCATAAAACTGAAGTAATCTTGGTATTTTTGTTTTCATTTTGTATCCAGAATTATTTCATTCCTATGAAGTAACTGTAGGCTATCTATCCATTCAATTTCATCCACGTTTTAAGACAGTAAGTTAACCAGTTCTGTGTCAGTACTGCTCAAGAGCTCCACAGCCTAAAATACTGGCAGAAACTACAGAAGGCAGATGCAGCTGAGTGTGTTTCTAGAAGCTTGTTTACACTGTCCCATGCATGCACAGAGCGAGGAATAGTTATCCACTGTTATTAGACAAACAGCCCAGCCTCAAATTTATTATCAGCACCTAAAATATCATCTGGGGGTGGGGGGGAAGTAATCCAAACTTCAGAAGAAATTTTCAGCCTACATATGCCAGCTAAATAGTATTTTATTTAATGCAACTTTACCAATGGCAGAAGGCTATTCTAATGGCTGTATGGAAGAGTCATATAAAGACTTCTAAAAACTAACCCACTTTTTAAGGTTCTTTCATGCCAGTCTCATCCATTTTGCCCTAAAGATCAGCTGCTTATTATGATATTGAGACCATGCATAAAATAACTGAGAACCTTCTACATCCTAGATGCAATAAATTCTGGCATGTTTTTTTTTAAACCTATTTTCTCACCTGCGTCTGAAATTTTCTTGTAGCCTAATCCTTTGTATTCAACATTTGCATTATATTGCAATTTCAAGACTGGTCAAAATGCACTTGCAAGAGTGAATTTTATTGCAAGATCTGCCGTGGCAAATTTAGGCAACAATTAAAAAACAAAGCTTCTGCCTATGTAATTACATCACTAGGGTCCTGCAAGGGTTACACAGGATATGCCTTTCTGTAATCATAAAGGCTTTTGCAACCTCTTTCCAAGAAAGGATTAACTAAAGCAAAACCCTGTTTTCATGGCTGCATTACATCAGGGGTTTTGCTGGCAGAGCTATGTTGATTACACTTGGTACTGTAAACCAAGTCTTTGTCTTTATACAAGCAACTATTACATTCAAAGTAGTTTTACTGTTTTTGGGTAAATGCACCATAAATCCAACTCTCTGAACATTAAGAAGCAGTATTCAAAGAAATGAAGGCAGGGACCAACAGACAACGCAGGCACCGACACATCTGCCTGTTCACAGAAGAATCACACAAGAGGCAAAAGTAACTGAAGACTGAGGGCAGCCACATCACAGCTCTTATTGCACAGGAATGACAGGAGCAGGAAATGAAGTATCCACGTGAAAATCACAGAAAAATTGTTCACCTGCTTGTATGCAAGTACCAATGAAATACATGTGGCAGTACTTACTCAAGGCGTTTCCATAACATCACTACTAAGGAAAGATTATTTTTAAAATGCATTCAAGCTTGAAGTCTATGCAGTATTAGCTACAAAATGGTACCATTATCAGAATGAGACATTCACTGTTTAAAAGAGTGAAACTTGTCTAATACATCTTGCAGAATATGCCAAGTAAACAGTGCATGCAATAAGGTTTTATCCCAGGAAAAGTAGGGATCTGGAGACAACATAAGGAAAATTACAGAAAGACACCAAAGAGAGAAGAAATTTACTTGACTGGGGCAGAAAGGCAAAGCATCCTTAAAGCAGCAATATGATCTTCAGGAAAAGCAAGAAGTTTTATAGTTTTACAAGTAGTTAAGATCACTTTATAATGTATGAATTTATGTGTAATATTATAAAAAGGACAAATATAAGACCCATAAAAAACTCTTCAAAGTTTCGTAATTATCCCAATTAGGTAAACAGAAGAAAACCAGAGTATAAAAGCGTTGCCTCAGCAAAACAAGTTTTATCTGTTAGACTTATGTCTAAAGCAAGATGAAGAGCTAACAAAAGATTTGACATCAAGGCCCACTCAGCACATTTGCAAGCCAAATACTGCACACCTGACAGGTGGTCGGTAGATACCAGTGATCAGAGAACTGCTTCTCAACAGAGGCTTGGACTTATGGTCTTAAAACTGAACACTTCAGAAAAAAGTGCCTGGCAATTCTTCATGGTTAAACTAAGGCCATTCAGCTGTACCTAAACTGCACTGGATGCTCTGGTGCTTTTGGGACGTTCTGTGACCACAGGTCAGAAGCTAAGACAATGTATTATTTTAGCTGTACTGTTATTTTTGCACTTTTAAGAGACAGTACAGAATAAAGCCACATGAAGTGCTTTAGTGCAGCTACAAAACCCCAAGACTTCCAAGAAACAGAGCCATAAGGCTCAGTATTAAGTGAAAAACTTCGACCATCTACAAAAACATGTATGAATATAATGACACAAAAAGGCTGATGATCCTTCTACCCCACCCTAAAGAAGAGACATCCCCATTAATTAAACTGCAGATAAGGCTTGAGGCTGGAACATGTATTTAAAGTTGACCTGCAAATGAAAAATCCACCACTTTTTTTTTCCCTATAGAGAAGAAGCCAGAGAGGCTCTCACTTCCCCCCCCTTCAAAAAGTCTCCCTCTACATTCTCATCAGAAGTCTAACACAGGATAACTCACATGATGTCAGACTTAATTACAACCATAACAGGAACTTGTCACTCTACTCTTACAAACAGAGAAATGACTAATTCATAGAGGGAAGACCTCTCTTTGATAAAAAGGTCCCTCACTCCAGAAACTTTCACTGAATGGCTCAAGAAAACTCAGGCAACATCTGATCATAGCACACAACAGATGGTTACAGATGGTTCACCTTTCAGAGACTGCCAAAACACGCAATTCTGAACATTTAAAGTAAAAACATGGCATATAACATATCACTCTTGCCTGCTTTGCATCTTCTATGCATTAAGAGGGTTAAGCTACTATTTCTCTTTTGCAGGTCAACTTCAATACATTAACTGGAAGTCACTCACCCATGTGCCATGCACCTAAGCTTCTAGAAATCTTCACCTAAAAGGATCCTAAAATTCACCTCCACTTGCACATTAAAGTGGCAGTTGCAGAGTGAACTAATGGGACACACCCTGGCACTGGGATGTATCTCAGAGCACTTCCACATCCTACAAGCAAGTGCCAGGACTAGAAATCATTTAAAATTTATTGAGGACAAGAAAGCACAAATAAAGAAACATATGCATTAAGAGAAGTTACAGCCAAGAGTTAGGATGTGCCTCCTGCAGCCTCAGTTTTGAGGAGTCAGTTAATAAGTGTACAGGTCTTTGTCTACTCAGATGTACAGCTAAGGAGTGACTTTTTAGAACAAGGAATTCAGACTTTATCAAAACAGCACCAGTAACTGTGTTCATTACACCAACGGCTACCACGGCATGCATCTGTACAAACCTTTCAGGCAGTTGTCCACAGCTGGTCATGAATAAAAAGGCATATAAATTTTTCTCCTCTTTTATTACAATGAAGTTTATAACAGTACAGAAAAGTCACATGACCTTAGTGGGTCAGTTTACTTAAACCCTGGAACAGGAGAACTCTAAATACATTAAATATTGTTACAAGTTCAGACTTTAATGTACAAGCAGTTGGGAACAGTTACAGCCCTCACCAAACTATGTTGGGGACATGAAGTCCAACAGCACCTGAAGTGCTGTGAAGGCATCGTTTCACAAATAGCAACGTAACGTTACAGAACTTGCCTTTAAGGTGGTATGTTCATGTAATTCCAGCGCCTTCACAATTTAACGAACCATATTTACTATACTTCACTTCTAAAAACCTAGATGAAACATGAAAAAGAAGCCATACAGTATAAATTGCAACATCAGGAAAAGTTCCTGTTATTATTCCAAATAATTTTTCCCATGTAAAATAAGAATGTCCAATAGCTCCTTGCATGTGGGAAGATACTTATTTTTTTAAAAGTCACAATGAAGCCTTAATTGACGGAAGCTCGGCTATATTAACAGCACAAGATGAGAAAAGGTTTAATCTCCAAACCTATTAGAGCGTGAGTAGGAGCGTCAGTAGCGGCCACCTTGCGACATTACAGGCGGTCTCATTCCCATCGGAGGGCGAGGAGGTCCACTCTGGTACGGGGGCACCATCGGAGGTCCCTGACCGTATGGAGGCATGGCTCCAGGAAGATATCCTGGCATGCCCTGGTGATGTGCACCATACTGACCTATGAACAGAATAGTTAAGATGCAAAGAATAATTTTTAAGTTGTTTTTTTTCTTTAATAGTGAGAAGTGCATTTTGTGAAAAGCTTCACCCCTCCCTGCCAGCATAGGCAACTTCACAAATCTTTCCAAAACCAAGAAGCTAGGAAATTTATGATTACCATGAGGTGGCATGGGAGGTCTCATTCCTTGTTGTTGTGGAGGAATTCCTGGCTGTGGTGGCATCATACCTCCAATTGGTCCAACCGGTGGATTACCCAGGGCAGCCTGGCCTGGTCGAGGAAGATTGCGCTGGTATTTAGGCAGCTGTGCCCTTCTCTCTTCCTAAAACCAGAACAGACAATCACAACACATCGTGTTAAAACTCACCAAAAGCAAAGTAAATAGAGGTGAAACAAAGTAGATTACTAAACTGTTTTACCTTGCAAATTCAAAGGCTACTACTAACATTATGCAGCAGCAGTAGGATTTGCCCCCCCCCCTTTCTGCAGACTTTCTTCCTTAATACAGACCAATTCAAGCATTCTGCATGGAACCCAAATCCTCCCTTTCCCCCAGCTGAATAAAGTATTTTTCTCTTAAAAACACAAATGTAATGTTCGTTTGTTTTATCCATAAATTCCGTATTTCTAACTGCTGTAATAGCATCAGAACAACTTCAAAACGTTCAGTCTTTTGTTCTACACTTATTACCCAGTCCTAGTTAATTTGAAGTTTAAGACACATGCAGTGAAAGTCCAAATTGTATTTTGGATTGAGAGATTTCCCATCACCACCAAAGCTAAGGCTTAGACTGCAGCAAGATCACTGCCAATATGCCAGTCATCACTCTGCAATTAAAGAAGTTCTCTCAGTTACATTTGTTCTGCACGGTTTGCACTCTCACCATTACTAAAATATACATAATGCAGAGCACAGATGACATTCCATTCAACCTGCCATATCATCACAAACAGCATTTTTCAGTAAGACAATGAAAACATGTTAACTTACCAGTGATATATCCTCATCTGGATGGATCAACTTACTGGTTGCACTGGTTGTTGTGAGTGTAGCAGGCTTACTTGTGATAGATGTAGCAGGTTTAGCTGCAGTGCTGTTTGTCGTGCTAGTGGTCGAGGCTGTAGACTGCGTGTAAGCCGGGAATGTCGGTTTGGGGGGTTCCGTTGTTGTCGCGGGTGTAGAATTCAAAGGTTTGAAATCAGTACCCACCGGCCCTGGCACAGCTGCTGCAGCCTGTGAAACACACACACAGGGCAATATTTATTTCTCAAATAAAGAAAAGTTTTCATTTAAGAAAACTTAAATGATGACTGTTACACCTCTGAAACATTCCAGTAAGATATAGAACTATAAAAAGCTTGACAAAAGTAAAGTTCAGCCTTACTGCATACTAGAGCAACTGAAACCAAGACAAAATAAACCCCGGTATGTACACATATACACACACACAGGAAAGTCTAAAATCTGCAGGTCAAAAGCCACCACAACAAAGGAACAACAAATTAAAAAACACCCTACTATTTTATCTCAAACACTGATTTTGGCAAATGTGTAAATCTTTCCTGATTCACTATTTTTTTAGGAGCCTCTAAGCATAAATTCATTAGTCTCTCACTAAATTAACATAGTTCATCAACCATTAGTTTAGAGTACAGCTCAAAGTTCTAGTATTCATTAAAATTAGGTATTTAAGAACCGTTTTAATCAAATATTTAAGAAAGCTCTATTGCGTCAGGGCTTTAAGTGTTCTCTCTGTAAACATAATGCAGTATTTTCACAAAGTACTATGTCTATCTACAGAACTTTAATCTTATTTGTGAATGAAGAATCAATGGAAGCAGGTAAGAGGTCCACTAGAGATTCCAACATTTCATCTCTCCTACTCTTCCATTACAAAAACCCTGTAAAAGTCCATTTTGCAAAGCTGTCTCTGAAGACACAGTAATCTCCAAAGCAAACCTTAGTTATGAGAGAATGCTTTTGTTTCTAGTCACTGGATATTTACAATTATTTGAACCTCTCAGTCAAAACCAAAATTAAAAAAAAAAAATTAACATTTTGCACATAATGCAAATGTAAAATTCCCTACATAATGATGTAACATATTAAACAACATAAACTAAAAAGCCTTCACCATGCATCAAGCTAACCACTGCCCACTAAAATGCATTTAACTGCTTTCATGCTCTTTTAACCCTTTAGAACCAGGATGTTACGTTTCATTCTTTCACACTAAGAAAAATTGGGCACTTTGACATGCTTATTTCTGGTAAGATGCAACTCATAATCAAGGACTCTGCAGTTTTACCAGCTAAACATAATCAGGAATATAACAAAAATTATCTGAAGATGTTTAGTCAATTTTAGATTTTAGTGAATGGTCCAAAGGGTTAAGTTGCAAAGCAATTTGTTTTAAACTGTGACTTCCTGCGTACTTGTGCTGTGCTAGGAAACAGAGCGTTAGAAGATGCTGAGAGACTTTCTGAATTGGAGGAAGCTGCACTTGAGCTTGTGACAGGTGTCCCCATCTGTAGCATAAAAGAAAGGAAACAGTGAAAAGTCTCCAAACAAATGGGTGGAAAGTATCCAGATGAAAGGATTTCTTATACCAAGCCCTTTCTCATGAAAGGACTGTATTTCTGTAAACATGTATCATCCCCGCAGGAGCCAAAATGCAAACGATACATTACAAAGGCTTCTGCAACACACTTGAAAGCAAGTAAGAACTCCAGGACCCGTGGAAAAGTGCATTCAAAGGGAAGAGGTCACAAGCCACTATCCATTCCCCACTTCCCCCCCAAAACACTGAAATTAACTTTTCACTACACTGACTTACTCTTAAACTTTTTGAAGTAAAAAAAACCCCTAAGTCAGGCAATGTTTAACCAGCTTAACAAGACTACAGAATAAATTTGTCTATTTATCGGTAGAGAGCCCATTATGAGTGAGAACAAGTCATGACAAGATTTTTAACTCAGAAATTTTAGAGAGAGTTCTATGCAATCAGACTCCTGTAGCTAACACATCTCTTCACCCACCCAAAGTTCCCTTACAGACAACAAACTTAAAGGCCTTTAAGAGTGTTTTGCCTACTCCTTTCTTCCCCAGTGCTTACAGAACTTGTCTGGTTTCACAGCTGTTTTAAAATAACAAAAGAATACTTTAAAATTCACTCAAGCACTACACTGAATTAAACATCAACCCAAGTAAAAACCTGAACCAGCCATCTCTTGGGCCTCCTCAGTAATAAGCAGGCATTACTGACAGAGTGGCACTTCCAAGAACGTAACGAGAGATTCCAGGCTCTGGGATACCTTACCTGCCCCGCGCTTGGGAAGAGTGGTTTAGTAACTGGAGGTTGTGGGGTCGGTGCTGCTGCAGCAGGAGCTGGAGGCCGGTTCAGAATGCCCGGGGCTGTAACAGGCTGTGCTTGTGTCATTGGAGGCATGCCAGGCCGAGGCCCAACAGGAGGGGGCATCCCTACAAACCACAAACAATGGGCGGCGGATCAGGCTCCAGGAAGCACGAATGTTCCTTTAAACAATCCTGCTCCCACTGTTCCTTAGAACAAAGTTTCTCACTACAAGATGTATTTTTAAGGCAACAGTAAAACAAAACATGACAAATGGTAATGCCAGCAGTCACCAGTCAATGACCATGCACAGGCAGTAACCTCAAACACTTCAGAGCAATGCTGGATTAAGTTGTTTTTTACTAAAGCTGCAATAATGAAGTTTATACTCTCAATAAACCAATACAGTTCATGCAGTAACTGTTTCTGACACATTGCAGGTAAGCTGCCAAGAGCAGGGATGACACTGTTACAAAATCTGAGCCGGAATTGTTTCTGAACAGTACCAGAACTGCGACCGAACCACTGCCAGCTTTGCTGGAGCCATCAGTAAAGTGGACTGGGACATTTTATAGTGTCACCACAACACCTGCATTTGGTGCGTGGAGCTCGAGGAGAGGGTCATCAGTGGGAAGTTAACAGCTCCCATGGGTTCCATCAAGCAAACCAGCTACTGGTCAGATGGAACACCCAGGAAACTGAGGGCTACTTAAGCGCTGCTCAAGCTCAACAAACATCTCTTCTAGCTACAGTAAGAGACCAAAATGTCAGTTAAGTTTCTTTACTGCAGGCTCACTGGTTGGGTAAATCACCCAACTATTCCCCACTTCCCACATTTTCAGTCATTACTGTTTTCCAACTGCAGCCATAACATTAATTTTAAAAAGGGATGAAGAGAGACCAGGCAACACAACGGTGTGAGAAAATGCAATAAACACAAAAACCCGGTATTCTATTTTTTACTTTAACAATGGTATAAAAGTCAAATCATTATTAATAACCAGAAGCCATAAATCAACCACCTCTGCACAAGAGTGGCTTCTGTGGCAATCCAACCACATCAAGGTGGTGGCATAAGTCTCTATGTTCTTTACATAAATTCTAAATCTTAGCGGAAATAAATAAAAAAAATTAAACTCTCACCATAGTACGAGTTCGACAACCCTGACCTACCTGGTGGCATACCAGGCATAAGAGGTGGGATTCCTGGCCCAGGAGGCATCATTCCACCCATAGGCATCATCCTATTGAAAAGAAAATGAACACTGGTATGAACACTCATGATGAAGTTTTAAGACAATTGGCACATCCCTGTATTAGATAAAAAATAATGGTAAATAATTTCAAAAAGCTCTCAAGAGAGGCAATTCCAAACCAACTCCACAAGAATAAAACTAAAACAATAAAACCAAAACATAACCCAGCACCCAAACCCCCAAACACTTATTTGAACTTTAATTTCTCAAGATCTCACTTCCTCTAATATGAGATTTCCAGAACTAGTATCTCTTCAAGTCTCTCCCAAGACTACAAGCTGTAGCAGAATGTTCCAAGAACTGATCTCAGTATATTCATAGAATCTGAATGTAGGAAAACCAGCTAGCTCCAAGCACACTACAATAACTGTACATCTGCTACTACTCCCCTCTGACACTGACTGCAGATAACCCAGGGCTGTAAACTATCCAAAAAATACTGGCAAAAGCAGAGCAGAGACCATAGGGCAAGAAAGATTCTGAAGTTTCAATTACAGAAAACACTCCATACACTAATGAAAAAGTGGGATTTTGGTTTTATAGTATGAGAAATCCTCATTGTAACACATTTTTTCTCCACGTTAAAAAGAAACCATTTGGTTTCTCTTCCTGAATGAGTATGTATGAGCCCTTTACATGGAACAAACAAGAGCAGCTTAATTTTGCTTAATTTTTTGCAGACATTCAAAAACGGATTAGGGAAACAGAATAAAGGAACGTTTATTACTTTAACGAGCAAGATAAGCTTATCTGCAGCACTCCAGTACAAACCAAAACCCCACTAAGAAGCAGTTTCTGCTTGTATGACAGTTAAGACACCTTCACCACTTCTGTTTTCAGATCAAATCCCATGAACAAGTGAGTATTCTTTCTGGCAAGTCTGATTTCTGCTCTCCACTCATTATCACTGCTACACAGGGAACAACCACTGCAGAAGCAGCAATGACTGGGAACACAGACCCATCGTCCCTTTTTTGGCTGGAGAAGGCAAAGTCAGCCTTGGCACCCAGCAGACATCAAAACAAGTGCTGGATGCTCACTGCCTGCTGCTCCAGAAGAATGACTTCTGAGAAACTGCACACAGTGCTAGAACTGGGGTCACACGAACAGCTAAGTTGCTTTGTGTCTCCTAATTCTTTGGTCACTTTTAAACAAAAGTTAATCAGGTTAAGTAAGCAAAATTTTAGATGAGAATAGACAAAAGCATGATGCAACACCACCCTCTCTGCCCAAAATGAAATGCAGTGAAATTTTGGCAAATTAATTTGTGTTTTTACAGGTGACATAACATTCACCTGAAGTTACCAGGGAATTTAATGAGGACTAAGCGTCCAACAACCTGATTAAGTTCTGTTGAGTTTCCACCCAGAAAACCTAAAGTTCTGATGAGCACCCACACCATGTTTGACTATGATATGGTTTTTAAATTCAAAGGCTGTTAAATCAATATTTGTATCTCAGAAGACAATGAGCTTTCACCTCAGTTAACTTAAAGCTTAGATTAAACTGAGCTCCTGCAGAATGTCCTGCAGTGTGAAGGATCAAGCACACGGAGCTGTTCAAGCTCTGGCTCAAGGGAGGCTTTAAGTCTCTAAGGGTCTGTTTGGTTTATATTTTGTAGAATGCATTTCACATACAGTTTTGTAATATTCATTTAGATAAAAACATAAAAATCTTCACGCATTATACAGTAACAAAACCTAATTAGACACTTCCCCAAATTCTTAGGCAATATTCAAAGGTTTTCAGTAAAACAATTTCTAGGTTATCAAAAACATGACATAAAATGGCATAATGAATGTACCTAGAATTACATTAATGAGATGCTTACATGTTTCCACCACAAAATGACTGCATGTATTTTCTCTGTTGATGTAATCTGTGAAAATTTATGACAAAATCAAAAATCTAACTGTGAATTTCCAAACACATTGTGATAGGGTATGGTGTCAACCCCATAACAAGCATAAAAACCAACATCTTTTGCCCAAAATACAAGAAAAATATAAGCTATCCAGTACTTTTTTCCTGTTATGTTGATGACTGATAACCAGATGCACAATATATGTGCAATACACAAGGGAATAGTGGCTCACAGAAGGCTCTAAACCAACACAACAAAATTTTAGATTAACATATTACTACTTAATAACTATGAAGTCAGGAGAAAGGTAAGATACTTTATACATTAACCCAGTTTGGCCATATTTTACATGTTGGTTTACAGCCATCCAGTTCTTTGGTTAGTCTTAATATTTAAGTTACAGAGTCCTCAATTCCCTATTGTACATTCTTTTAATTAGCTTTACTTTTTCTGTGACAGTTTAATATGCACAGTATGAACATGTAATATTATTAAATCTTTCTTGCTACTCACCCAGGTGGCATTCCAGGCATAACTGGAGGCATTCCAGGCATCATAGGTGGAACACCTGCCATTAATGGGGGTATACCTTAAAAGAAAAAAATTTTCAACAACTCAGATAACATACAGTTGCAAACAAATGTGATCTAATAAGTTTACACTGGATAAATGCTTTACAGCAAGTTCTGAAAGATTGGGTTTTAAAATAATACTGCTTACGAACAGCTCAATATAAATACTATCTGCAAATCTGACTTTGATTGATTGCCCTCAGCCCTGCAAGACTGGGAATTTTCTTAGTGGTCTCCAAAGAAGACCTTATTAAAAGAGACCATTCTTTACTCACTGATCAAAATTCTTTCCTCACTGTATCTGTGGCCTGTGTATGAACAGCCTGTTCTGTGTCAGAAGTCTCCAGATGCAGAGCAGCTTTGCCCTTTTTATAAAAAGGTTTTCCAAAACCCCGTTATAAATACTACGAGCAAGTATCACTGCTAGAGTTCTGTTAGAAGCACTGTCCTGTCTTACTCCCACATGCCTTCAGCCTACATGCCAGCAACAGGTATCTGAATCTAGTCCACCAAGGAAGATGTGCTCATGCACAGAACAGGGGAAGAAAATGAACAAACTACTTATCTGCACCTCCCACAACTATTCTGTGACCCCACTGTTAAAAGGGCAGATTACTACTCAAGTATACAAGCAGCAATTCATGCTTCTACTGAGCTTTTCAGCAACTACCTAACATAACACACCCGCTCACCTGGAGGCATCCCTGGTGCACCTGGCACAGGAGGCAAACCTGGCTGTGCCATTGGGGGAATGTACCCCTGCTGTGGCTGAACTTGCTGGGGTTGAAATGAAGTTGAAGCTGCAGATTCATCATCTTCATACTCATCAGAATCATCCTGTTGTTTCTTTTTCTGGCTCTCTGCAGACAGTACGACACATATGGTCAAATTATACTCCATAAAATTAACTAATAGCCAAATTCAAACATTGCCAGTGTTCAAAAAGTCACATTAATACAACGAAAGAATGCTATGTGAGCCAACCTACGGCCACAAATAAAGGGAAGGAACACGACTCACACTGCCATTACCCTGAACATGCAGAGGGATCTGCCCTCATACCAGTGTCATGCTGTCCTGCATAAAACAAAGCAGTTCAACCAAAGGCTTGAACAGCAAATAAACGTAAGCATTTGGGAATCATCAGGACAGTTTTACCTCTAGCCTTTCCTCCCCTTACCCTCACAAACAAATGACCATGCCCCTATTCATTAGGTAAGTGCTGTAGCTGCTCTGGGAGCAGCTGCTTCTGAACAGGAAAGGAAAGATCCCTCCCACGTGGCTGGCAAATGCCTGGAGCTGCTGTCAGAGAATGCATTAAATCCACCCTCACTGCGTGCCACAGCTGGGTAAGGAACACACCAGGGAAGTAACAGACAACCAGCCACATTGCAGCTTACCCTGAGTTTTTTGTTCAAGTAACCTCCTCCGCTCCTCCATGTCTTTTTCTGGAATGCCTTCCATTCCATAGATTTCCAGTTCAATGTCTGTTCTTCCGGGAATAGCATTTGGAACAGCATCTATTGTTTCTTTATGTACCTAAAAAAAAAACCAAAACAACAAACCAAATCCTGCTGACCACGTTTCAGGGTAAATTCTCTGTGTTCTTCAGGAAGTTTGAAGACACAAAAGGAACATCCTTAATGGGACTGATCTCTCTGGCCAAGCATTTTCTTGATCTGTGCCTCCTAATCTCTGGTAATTACTACTACCCCTAAAACCAGTTTATATAAACTATATAAAAGTTTATATTTCTGAGACAGCACAACTCCTTCACTCCTACAAAACTCCTGAGGAAGATCTCTGCTGCACAGCAGCCATTTGACTGCTGACACAGCAGGAGTCCTGTGCTGCAAACAGGACACTGCTGCATTTTCTCAGTAGTTTTACAGACTCTGGAAGCTCCCAACTCCCCTGCTTAAGGACACTTAAATTGTAGATACTGTAAAGAAAAGCTCATGTAAATCTAAAACTCCTTACCTGCATGCAGTGTATAGCTAAACCAGGTCCTGTGTACAGTTTCTTATGACATATATGGCATTTAAAGTGCTTTGCTTTTTGATGCTGTATAAGGATTTTCTCATCATCAAAATCCCTATTACAGTACCTATTGAAGACTGTTAAGGAAACATTTAATACTGGAAGTGACCTTTTAAATAGGACTAAGGTAATGAGCACCAGTGTGATTTTTCTGAAGGAAAAGAAAGGCACAAGAGCATTGAAAGGGTGACAAATATTTCATGGACGTCTGAAAACAAACGCCCTCATGCGGTCCAGCACACCCCTCTTTACACAGGTTCAGAAGTGCGGAGGTGTCTGCACACAGTCAGAACCATCATCTGATTCCACACTGTTTGACTCAGGGTTTTCAAGTCCTACCTATTTTCCTTCGGGGATATGAATACTGCAACAGCATTAAAGGAGAAACAGGCTCGAAATCAGCAAAGAGAAATTATGCAAATCACTCCGAAGTGCCTCTTTAATCAATTACCAGTAACTAACAATCATAAAAGAGAACAAAGGTTTTAGTTTAAAATTCCCTTCCTCTTCCAGTTATCAATTTTTATGACACAGCATAATTTGCTGTATTAACGGAAGAATTCTCTGCTTTTAAAAAGAAATATTTTAAGCGAAGAACTGTGTGGACATCTACACAACACAAGAGGCAAACTGCATTTCCTTTCTGTGGCTCAGCACTGCTACTACAGCAAACACTCCACACATTTTCCTAGGTGAGACAAATACACATTAGCTACTTATTATTAAGAAAATGTCAACATGGCTAACACAATGTGTCCCCTGTTTCCAACCAAACGTGAAATAAATTAATGTCTAAAACAATCACAGATGCCTTCCAAAGCAAAATGGTAATTTACCTCGGAGCACCTTTTAAATTTCTTTATTAAACAATTCTAGAAGACAGAAACGTAACAGAGAAGGCAAATTTATAATCACTCCACAACAGTGAGTACATTCTGAAGGAGCGATCAAATAAAAATCCACCAGTATTTCTGGATACTGAAAATTTAAACCTGATCATGATGCAGCAATTACAAATTGAAAGCTCCCCCCGTCACAAAGAAAAAAAAAAAAGCTTAAAAAAATTTCTTTTTTAACTACATCCCACCTCATTCCGTGAAAAAATGTATTTATCAGTAGCGAGATTTTCTGCCTTTAACATCCTTCCTCGCAAGGAATAAAGACCCTTCTCCATTTCCCGCTGTCCCTGCTTTAGGGATCGGGCGGGAGGCCGCGGCCTCGGCGAGGGGAGCAGGCCTGAGGCCGTGCGGGTGGGGAGCAAAGGAAGGGCACGGGCCGGGCCCCATCCCGAGGGGCACGGGGCTGGAACACGGCCAAGCACCGAAACAAACCGTGAGGAGCGTGGGGAGAAGGGCCGAGCCCCATCTCGAGACGAGACGAAAAGAAACGGGACCGAGCCCCGACCGCGCCAGGCCGCGCCGCTACCCTCCCCCACCCAGCTCTCTGCATCCGCCGCGTCCCACACAGAAGGATACCAGCACCAAGGCTTCAGCTGCTTCTTCTTCTTACGGCCCATGGCGGCGTCACCCCGATCTACAGAGCAGAAGAGCCGAGCGCTCCCTCAGAGCCGCAGCGCCCGCGCGGCCGCCCCGGACCGAACGAGAGGCACAAAATGGCGGCCGAGCTCCCTCAGGCGCCGCTGCGGCCTCCGAACTCCCAGAACACCCCGCGCCAGCAGGGGGGAACGCCCACGTGACGCGCTCGCGGCCGCCCCCACCGGGCTGTCCCGTGACGCCTCACGGCGCCGCCGCCATTTTGCCCAGTCGGGGCTGTGAGTGCTGTGCCTGAGGCACCTGAGCCTGTCACAGAAACAGTCACGGAGTGGTTTGGGCTGGGAGGGGCCTTAAAGCCCATCTCGTTCCACCCCTCTGCCATGGGCAGGGACACCTTCCACTAGACCAGGCTGGTCGAAGACTTGTCCAGCCTGACGTTGAACACTTCCATGGATGGGGCACCACAACTTCTCTGGACAACCTGTTCCAGGGCCTCAAGCACTCTCAGAGCAACGAGTTTTCTCCTAATCTAAACTGTTGCTTGTCTTCGTGTTTAATGTCACAGAGAAACTGTGTTTTCCCCACTAAATGCTACTGGGCAAGAAGCTGGCTGCTCTGTGCAGTGTTCTGGTGCTGGCTGTGCCTGTGTTGCTGGGTGCAAGAACACAATAAAACTGACTTAAATGTGTTCAGCTATCTGTACCTGTACAGGGTACAGAGGCTGTCCCGCTGTTACAGTGACAGTCCATCAGGGTGGGTGTCTGTGTTACCCCCATGGCTCTCCAGCTCACCACAGGCCCACCAGGTGCTTAGAAGAGAATCAGTGGGGTTGGAGATGACCTGTAAGACCATCAAGTGCAGCCGTCAGCCATGCCCGACCCTTGGCAGTGGCCCTGCTGCAGCTGGGGGTCACAACTGCTCCCTACGGGGCTTGTCTGCAAACGGAGATTGTGGAGTCTCCCTCTCTGGAGACATTCCAACCCCACCTGGATGTGCTCCCGTGTCACCTGCTCCAGGTGACCCTGCCTTGGCAGGGGAGTTGGATTGGATGATCTCCAGAGGTCCCTTCCAACCCCAACGATTCTGTGATAGTGATTCTGTAACTACCCGGTAGCCACAAGGCCAAGTTAACAAATGTGCTGTTTTAACACGGAAAAAGTATTTCAGAAGCAGAACTTTTTAAAAGCAGACAGCATGGCTAATCCTGCCAAATCCCCTCCCAATCCAAGCCATTCTATAATTCAAAATGGGATTTGAGCGGGTCCTGCCGTTAAGCCAGTGACCGGTTTTGAAGGATTACTTGTACTGACAGAGGCACTGCGGTGCCTGTATTGCATTTTTCTGTGCATTACAAACGGAGGAGCCGCGGCGGCCGCAGCCGTTTCCCCGGTACCGCCCTCGGTGGGGTGAGGACACGGCCGGTGCCCTCCGAAGGCTCCTCCCAGCGCCGGGCCCGGGGCGGGCTCTCGGCTCTCCCGGCGGGGCGGGGCGCAGCGCGGCCCGGTGGCTCCCCGCGGGGCCGGGGCCGCGATGCTGCCGGCGCTGCCGGACGGCGATGAGCGGGAGCTGGAGAGCAGCGAGGAGGGCGGCGGCGCGGGCGAGGAGCGGCGGCCGGAGCGGCACGGCTGCACCTACCACGGCCTCTACGGCTACCGCAGGTGAGGCGCCGGGTTCCCCCGCGGGGAGGCCGTGCCCAGGCCTTGGCCATTCCCAGCTCCCTGAATTCCCTTTATTTTTCCCCCCCCCTCTCTTTCTCCCCGGTGAGATTCTGCCCCTCCCATAATGCACGGATTCCCTGCTCCTGCTTTTATTCGCCCTCGGGCCGTGCCTTTTCCCTGCTGCAGCCGCTGCTCCCCGTTGCGTGTCACGGCTGTAAACTCACTCCCGGGAATCTCTTGGGTTCCAGGTCCGCGCAGCAGGGAGCCGCCGGCGGGGATGGCAGTGCCGCCGGCGCCGTGCCGCACGCTCCCTCCACCGAAGACTTCAGGTAAAGCGAGCTGCAGAGCAGCGCAGTCACGGGAATAGCCCGATTTGAAGGCTTTGCTGTATTGCTGTCAGATCACTGTTAGGTCCTCTGCAGTCCTTTCAAAACACAACCTCCCTGTGAAAGCATTATGGAATCCCCCATGGCGCTTATTCTGGAATACCTAGGGAATGGACACACATACAGAGCTCAAGTAATGTATTAAACAGTAACTATCATCCTTGAGTTTGAACTTTTTTTTTGTGCTACTAGTACTTGATATTGCTGTATGGACTTAGTTTTTCCTGTAGGTAACATACAACAAGAATTTATTAATTTTCAATGGATATTATTCCATAAACTCTGTATTACAGTTGGGAAAACGTAGGAACAAAGGGGACAGTGTCTTGTCTGTAGCTGCTGGGAAGGTCAGCATGAGCTGACACCACATCTCCAGACTCCTGGTCAGTGAGCAAACCACTGACTGCTCATGATGGGCCAAAAGTCACAGAGCTGCCTTAGCTGTCAGCAGAGAGAAATCACAGGGAGCCCCTGGTTCTGCATGTGCTGAGAGACACAAAACAATAACATTTGCCTTTTGGTAATGATTTCATCTGGTTTTTAAAGCCTCTCCTTGCTGGACACCAACTTACCAGCTGAAGCGGAGACGGAGTTGCGCAGTTTCATCGCTAAGCGTCTTACTAAAGGAGCGCTCTTTGAAGGAATGGGGAATGTAGCATCAGTGGGGCTGAGGTAATGTTTTGAAATTATTGGTGAATGAGAGCTGTAAGGAACACTGGCACATCTTGCCTGCCTGCTGCTGCACTTAGGTTTAATCCTGATTCCATGTTCCCAGTCTGTTGTTGCTTTAATAACAGCATTACACAATGGCACTTTCCTGTTTTAGGTAACTGAGGAAAATATTGTTTTAAATAATTTGCTGTTTGAATACTTAAAAAATACTACAGATGTTTGTGATTATTTCCTTTTAAACAACTCTGATCACACAAAAGAAAAAAGATAATGTCTAACAGCTGTACCTACCATGGCCATAGGAGCCACCAGTGCTAACAGTTAAAATTATCTCTGAAATCATGTATGTCTGCTTTACATCATTTATTGTGATGTCTGCTTTACATCATTTATTGTGATGTATCTCGAGGAAAGTAATTTTTTTTTTTTTTTCCTTTTCTCATAGCATACCAGAAGGCAAAGTTGGGTGTTACTACTGTCGTTTCCAACAAGAAAGTCTTCTGGAAATGGCAACATTGGAATCAGACATCAATGCTCCAGAATATGTGGTTTGTTTCTTAGGTGGCTCAGAGAAAGGTCTGGAACTATATCCTTACCTTGAACTTTCTTTACCTGTATGGAGAGGGAGACGATGTAAAAATTATCTTGTCATTCTGTCTGTTCCTACTTGAAATCAGCTCATTTGTGCACACCTTTCAGTAACTGAAAAAGTCAGTAACAGCCATATACTGAAAGGAAAAAATACAGGTCTTAACTGATGCATCTTATTTTCCTTAAGAAGATACTTTCAGACTTGAGCTGGACAAATACATTCAAAATCTGAAGATAAACCTTGATTTGGAGGTAAAGCCTAACTTTTTTTTTTTAAGTGGTGAAAATTAGTATTTATGCAGGTTAACTGCTAAAACCATCTGGAAGATCTAATCTGTAGAGACAAAATAGGTGTTTCAAGTACCAGTATGAAACACAGGGAGAGATGCTTGACTCACTGTAGTTCAATGAATGTCTAAGGTGCTATCAGCCACACAAGTCAAAAGAAAAAAAGAAGTGAGACCTTTTCATGTCAGTCATAAATCTCTTAAAGATCACTTGTAGTTATGATATTTTCTGAAAAATCCTTTTGCCAACATTTTTCTCCTGAGGAGCCTCAGGAAAGAAATGGAAACAATCTGCTGCTGTGGAATGCAACAGGGGCATCTTCCATTGCTCCATGTGGATTGTTTCCAATTGATGACCAATCACAGCCACCTGTGCCAAGGCTGTGAGCAGTCACAGGATTTTGTTATGCATTCTGTTCTTGTTCTTTCAAGCCTTCTGTTGGTCTTTTCTGTCTATTCTTTTAGTATAGTTTTAATGTAGCGTTTTAATATAGTACATATCATAATATAATAAACCAACCTTCTGAAATGTGGAGTCAAACCTTGCGTCTCCACACATGAAAAGTCCTCAACAGTCACAGTTAAATTTGGAGAGAAGAGTAGCCAGTAAAGGAACTTTATCAATGTCCACCTCAATTCTTACCAGTTCTGAATGTTACGAAAGGACATTTGTGGGTTTTTTGTCACATTTTTCTAGTTTAAGTTCTGGATTTTAAGTCTCTTTGTAATCCCATCTGCTGTTGCATGGTCTTCACTCAATATATACCATCATATTATAGTTCTGGCTGTTTCTTAAAATGCAAAGCCTTTCATTGCTGATAAAGTGAGGCTTTAAATCTCAAACTCATTATTTAGTTCACTGTGGTTTGAGATTAACAAGGTTCTAACATCCAATTATCTTGCATTGAGTAGATTATTAATAGGCTTCTATTGATGTAGAAATCTGGTTTTTAGTTAAAGTTTTAATGTTTCAATGTGTTACAGCAAAAAAACTTAGATGCCTGTGTTAGCCCTTACCTGAGGAGCTGGTTTGAGGATGCCATCTGCCCTATCCAGAGGGTTGTGCAGCTCTTCCAGGACAAACTTGCCTCTCTGCTACATGCTGTAAGTGTATTAAAACTGGGTAGCTAAAAAACCTCCAGAAGGCATCTCAGTGACTCCAGCATGGTTCATTTGCTTTCCCAGCAGGAGGAAATGATAAAAACTTCATTTTTTTGTTGTTGGTTTGTTTTTTCTTGTTGTTTGTTTTTTTTTGGTTTGTTTTGTTTTTTAAATTCAGAGCAAGTACTTTTCCCCTGCTTATTGCTAGAGAAGCATGTAACAATTTCTTCTGTTGCTTAAAAAAAATTACCTAATGGTGTCCACACTGAAATTGGCATAAGAAAATCAGAAATAGCATGAGCAGTCTGTCCATGCCATAATTGTCTGAATGAAAAGGGGTGTTATATGGTGTACAGGTCTTGTGTAGTTCACTGGAAAGAGAGAAGAGACTAATCCTAGCTCTAGTCCCTGAGCTGGAGGAGGTTCTGGATGGAATAGCTAACAGAGTATAACTGCTGAATTTCTTCTGAGTGCAGAATC